CMMMAARGKTKGKKRRGKTGTCATCCTCGCCATACATTTCTTTCTAAATCTATCCCAAACTGTGGGCTTAAATCTAGTGTTCTGATTCAGTAGTACATTCGTAATATTCTTTTTTTAAAGACGCGCGAAAAGCAAGATAAGTGTTCGTGTTTTTGATTATCTTTCTCATTCTAAATTCTCCCTACAATTTACTGCTAAAGCAATTAGACCTCTCGACGTCTCGTTTTAATTTTTTTTTAAACTCAAGTGTGTTTCTTTTAATCTTKTTCATGCTTTGATTACCATCACTGTGTTTTTTTAAATCAAGTCGATCCTTTCTGCATGTCTTACCTTGGGAAAACGTTAGATATCTTTTTTTTTAAACGTCCAATGCAATTCTAACTGTACCATAGTACCACGCACGTTCGTCGGTACAATCGTTATTTATTGATAACAGATCCACCGACCATTCATAAACCAGTCCCAATATGTATACATTTAAGTAAATCATTTAAAATCTATTTATTTAGATTATTATACTTTAGAGAGATCCGTCKTTTTTTTCAGAGTTGCCGCTCCGCAAAAAACAAACAGTTTTTCGTTAATTACGGAGGTCACAAATCAACCAGAGGAAACTCGCGCACCAAAATAACTTGTTAGTGTGTAATTAAGGTCAAAATTTTTTTGCAAACCAGGATATTAGTAACGTAGTTAGACAACAGTTGTTTTACCGTATAAATTTTTTTTAAGTGTAAGTACAAGATTGGTGTTGATAAGGTACGGAACCGAATTGTCATGTGATTTTTTTGATTTCATCCTGATCTACGAAATGTTTCAAAAAAGATTGTAATGAATACCCTTAAACTTTCTGGGAAGCAGAGATGTCGACAGTTATATGCCTGTCTCTATAAGTGGTCCTAACTTTTTTTTAACTAAAAAGCCATTGAGGGAGAAGCTAACCGGTCCCTAAACCACACATGTTATATCCTTCGCGCTAATTAATTTAGCAAATTTCTGTCAATAAAGTTCTTGTGTATTTAAGAAGTTTTTTTGGAGGGATCCCTGTGGATAATAGTTATTTGGAATCCCACACAGAA